ATTGTTAGTGCTCGTAAAATTTTTTTAAAGATTCGTAAAGATTCTTAAATAGTAGGTTTTATCTTTTGGTAATCGTTTTTAATAACGGGTTGTTGATTTAATTTCTGTTAAGATGTTTATGTTAATCATCTTCTATATTTGCTTCGGGGTTAATTTGAATTTGATAACCAAGAAAGTTCATATCATTTTGAGGTTATTTTTTAATTTGTTTCTATTGATTAAAACATCAGAAATGTTTTTGGTTATCTAATACCAGTATATAGTATAATATATTTTATGTTTTAGTAAAAAACATTAGACAAAAAAGTTTATGGAGTTTAAATCAATAGAAAGTAACTAATGTAAATGAAAAATAACCTAAAAATGGTATGAACTATTTGGATTACCTGATACTTTAAGTACAAAGATTAAATACTTTTATTGTAAGCTATTTACGTTCTACTCGGTTTGAAGAATCTTAAGTGGTACTTTGCATCTTTTGGCGATTGTGCAGACTAACGAGTTGTTGAATTAATTTCCATTAAGAGACGTTTATGTTAATCGTCTCCAGCAGGTGCTTCGAGGTTAGGTCATTCGAATTAGGTAATTAAAAAAGATAAAACCGTTCTTAAGTTTCTTATCACATTTATCTAATAATAAACAAATAAAAATTGAAATCGGAAAAATCTTTTCTGATTGCTCGATGTTACTAAAAGATATATTACATGCCATTGTATTCGGTAACTAAAAAAGTTATTGCCATATAAATCAATAAAAACAAATAAAGAATGTAACAACGTATCCTTTTCGTTATCAAATATTTCAAACACTTGAAAAATACTAATTCTTAACCTTCGCTGAGTTTTATGTGATTTTGAAAAATTCCTTAGCAATGCGTCACATCTGGTGACAATTGTTTTTTTCTCAATACGTACCGTGTCAAATTGATTTTTAGAGATTTTCCGTAAAACCGCATGGGGTCCTAAACGGTCCAGGCAGAAAGCCGAAAATTTCAAATATTTTAGATGAAAAGTTCAGATTAGATTGTATGCATCCTTCGCCGCCGCATAGAATATCTTAATGACGAATTTGAACAATTTCTATAAATCGTTTACATTAATCATTTCGTACAGGTGTTTCGAATAAACAATTAAATAATCAAAAACATTCATTTCAATCCTAAATCTATTAATCATTTACTTAACTAAACTTCGTTTAGTATTATCTTACTTTAATTATTAATAATATGTAAAATATTATTTACTAATAATAAAGATAAAGAAGAAAGTTAATTTCATTTTAATCGATTATTGATAAATAAATTTAGAAATAATTATGAACTTTCTTGATTAGTTAATATTTCAGCCGAGAAGATTAAGAAAACTTTCGAATTGGTTACGTTCATTAAATATTTCGTTTATTAATTACTCGAGATAAGAATGTCTGTGCAAAAATATTTGAAATCTAAGTTGGTTTAAAAGTACGTGTTCTATTCGCACGCGACTGAAAATATTGTTTCCTTTTGTGGCTAAGCTATAGCAAGTTCTCGTTTAACGTACAAATTGCTTTACAGTCTAAGTCCTTTCTCTCTTAATGACCGAGTAGCACGCCAAGTGGTTCAACTTGATCTTCTAATAGGGTGCACTATTGCATAAACCTTGCTCGTTACGTCTTATCTTTCAAGGTCAAAACACAGAACTTCTAAATTTTTTCCTATTTCTATTTAAAAAAATTATTACCGATGAACAAAACTTCATTTTGAATTATAATTAACTTCATTTATCTTAATTATAACTGTAAACTAGATTTCTGATGCAAAATTTTGAATTAATTATGCGTATTTCGTATATGATGATGATAATGATTATCATAATTATTTTTCGGTAAAGAAAAATATTTAAACTATTTAACTGTTTTCTCTTGCTTGCTTCATCTTGTCTTTCAAAGTCAAAGTAAAAGATATAAAATTTYACCTATTTCTGTYAGAAAAATTATTATCGATACACAATAACTTAATTTTGAATTAAAATAAACGTCATACAGACAATGTAAATTTAATTATAACTGTAAACTAGATTTCTGATGCAAAATTTTCAATCAATTATGCGTATTTCGTATATGGTGACGATAATGATTATCATAATTATTTTTCGGTAAAGAAAAATATTTAAACTATTTAACTGTTTTCTCTTGCTTGCTTCATCTTGTCTTTCAAAGTCAAAGTAAAAGATATAAAATTTYACCTATTTCTGTYAGAAAAATTATTATMGATACACAATAACTTAATTTTGAATTAAAATAAACGTCATACAGACAATGTAAAWTTAWTTAYAACTGTAAACTAGATTTCTGATGCAAAATTTTSAATYAATTATGCGTATTTCGTATATGRTGAYGATAATGATTATCATAATTATTTTTCGGTAAAGAGAAATATTTAAACTATTTAACTGTTTTCTCTTGTTTGCTTCATTCTGTCTTTCAAGGTCTAAGTAAAAAATATAAAATTGCACCTATTTCTGTTAGAAAAATTATTATCGATAGACAATAACTTAATTATGAATTAAAATAAACATGTAAATTTAATTACAACTATAAGCCAGATTTCTGATGCAAATGATGAATTATTCCTACTTCGTATACTTATTGTATCGTGATAATAATAATAATCATTATCACGTTTCAATAGAAAAAAAAAGATACTTAAATTAGTTCAAATTAAATCGATCGAAGAAGCATCATCGGGGAGAATCGAAAAGAGAACTCCTCGTGCAGCTGGCAGAATATAAAAGTTAGTTCCGTTCATAGGAACTGGTGGCTCGTGCGTGCCGATTTGAATGCGAGTTAAACGAAGATTTATGCGGTGGCACGTAAATATAAACAACAATATGCAATCCTCGACTCATTGTCCCGAACGAACAAGGCGCGAGAGCTGACCAATGCGAACTAATAAGCACTCCGTACCACAAAACTTTTCCTTTTGCTCTTCATATACAAAAATACGCACATATACCAACATTGAAATACAGATATACAGTTCCCGTAGCTAGCTAGCTAGATGATGAGGATTATATTTATTCTTTTTCTATGTGTATAGTATATACATGTGTATGTATCTACTTATTTACTACACACTTCTCAAGACTAATCAACTGCGATGGTCTTTAACGAGCAACCACCAGCCGGATCCATTCGGATAGTTTCATCTTCCCGCGTTTTTTGCTTTAAACCCAGCCGGAAATTTGTCTGTCGTTGCCCTAATACGTTCCTCTGTCACGAATCACAAGATCCTAACCATCTATCCATCAAAAAGTTTACTGTATCTAACTTAACTACTAACATCTAACACAAGTAGCTTCAATTTGTTTTTTTTAATTTCCCACGTGACGTTCCAAACAATATTTGAATAGGTTTAGGAGGACTATGTTAAAAAGATCTCGTCGTAAAAATAAATTCCTAATGGATTGATTTGGGAAACATTTGTTTTTACAATCGTTAATACAAAAGTCGAATCCAACAAATTTGTAGAAATTATCAAATGTGTAATTGAAGTTTATCTGTTATACTTTACTACGTTACATTTAGATTAATATTTGTATCCTTATCGTAAAAATA